AGGTATCTCTGCTGTCTCCTGGTTGTTGGTGTCCAGGTTACTGTGATGCTGTGTGTGAGATGACACGCACCTCCATGAATGACAAGCATGATCGCATTTACAGGTGTGCCAGGAGTCTTATCTGTATGCATACCTGCATCTCAGCTGAGCTTCAGTGTAGTAGTACAGCACACACACACATACACACACACGTGCATGCACACGTGCATTCACACACATGCACACGTGCATGCACACACACACACTAGTAGACACAAGCACACACACACATATATATATAGACACACAATAAACCAATATACCGTGACAAGACATGTACAGTGTTAATGTCAGGTCTTGGATACTTAAATGAGGGAAATGATATTTTTTCTTTCTTTTTTTCTCACCTGTCCTCTCCCCCTACTCCCACCACCATAGACATTTTTAGAGAAATTACTGTGCAGTTTGAGCTGTAATGTATTATGGGCTAAAGCCACAAATTTGTTTTTGAAAAGCCCCACATGTGGGTCCTCTACTTTATCCCCTTATAACATGTTATAGAACCTTGCTCTCTGTTATGTATTCATTACTCCATGCTTGGAAATCTATCCACCACTTCAGTGTCCTCTAGATCCTGTAGATTTCATTTACCTTAGAAATGAATACTTCAGAGAGGAGGACATCGTGTAAAGGCTGAATGGAAGGGCACCGGGGAAGAATGGCTGCCTCTCCACTTGCCTGTTGACAAATTACAATCTCTTGCTGTGCGGGGAATTAAGGCGTGTGAAATGTAATATGGTGGGAGTGAGAAGAACAAAATGAGCAGTCAGTTGTAGGTTCTTTTCTGCAGGTCATGTCTGTACACAGTTGAGTTTGATACCTAATACACCTACTGGGCTTGTTCTGGCATGAAATCTTTTTTTTTTTTTTTTTGAAAGAAAAAACTAGAATTAATTGCAACAGACACAGACTGTCAAAAATGAAAAGAAACAAATTAACATTATTACACACATACATGTAAAAATAACATATTTACTGATGTTAGTAACTAATATATCTTAGATCCATTACATATTAAGGGTTCACATGTACATGTTTATCAGTATTCAAACTGGAATCTTTAATCTTGGGTCCCACAAAAATGCAGTGTGCATCAATACCAACAGAAACATGTTGCATGTTTTGGCTTACATGATAATTTGTTAAGTATCAGTTGGCCAGGAAGCCAAAATCTTACAATTATATGTACATACCGGTAGGTTGTAAAGACAACTTTGTTCAACATGCAGCTTTAGACAAAACTAGAAAATATCTGCTGTTGCAGAAACAAACTTTCCGTCCAGTTTGGTAGACTGTATCACTCTCTGCTCCCTCTCATGATACACTTTGTGCAGGTTCATAGGTGGAAAATCATGGACAAATATTATCAAATATCAAAAGCCAGGTCAGAAGATTTCACAAAACAAGTCAATTCATGTGGCCACAAAACCCGCGTGCCAGGCTCGCAGCGAGGGTGTTAGGTCACACAAAGAGGATGATGTGGTTTTAAGAAACCAGAGAGGGCGTGGTAGGCGGCGCTTTTGGCAAACGATACAACTTCATTTTGATCTCATTATACCACGTTACAGGGGTGGAACAAAAACGTGGTTCTAGGCCTGGTAGTTTATCGTATTTCAAAGGTTTTTGTTGTGAAGGTTCAATATTTAACATTGTTTGCTTTTAGATCTTTTCGGGGTGTTTGCATTGAGCCACTGCAAGTCCTTTGTTGTGAGGAATTTTATGTATTTATGTTAAAGTTCACTCCAGTTTAAGTTGCTTAGTGTAATTTAAGGAAGTATTGATGAAAAAATGTGGAAGGTTTATAATTTTAATTTTGGCAGATTGAATCAATTATAGAAATGCAGAAGATAGCCCAAGGGTTTTTTTAGTGGCTGATACTCAGTTAACATTTCATGGAGAAAAAGTGAATTTCAGGAAACATGATGTGTGAATTCTAAAGTTATAATCATATTCAAAAGTAGACAGATCTTGTGTCAAAGTCTTTGCTATTGTGTATCACACGGTGACACATTTTCACATGATAAATGGTGCGAAAATGAAAAAATAATTGGAAACCAGGTGCTAATGCTCTCATCATTAAAGTGAACGGAGTATAGAAATATTGAGATGAATACCTTCAGGATTTTCTATTACGATTACAGCCGTGTACGTTTGTTACAACGCATAAAAGGCATAGAACAAAAAGATTCAAAACAATCATTTTCATCGTCTCTCATTTGGTATCATGTGAAGGCTTCAATACATGCGAGAGATTTTGAAAGAAAAACAAAAACAAAAAATGTTGTAAAGATGTTTAGTGTATCGATTTTAATTCCCCGTGCTGTTTGATACAAGATACGCAGACACTCACTTCCCATCTGGATAACGACTGATAAAAACATGAATAACAAAAAAAAAAAAAAAAAAAAAAGACCAGGTGTGAATTGTTAATTTGAAAAAAATATGTCAATGCATCACTTTAAAAAGATGAAATATTTCTGAAGACACTGTGTTCAGAATAAATGTGAGGAAATAATGTGGAATGATAGATAATTAAATTGCTTGTCTCTGAATTAGATTAAGGATTTAAGTTACACATCCCCAAAGTGCTGAAAATGTATTTAGAGAAAGTAATCAATTTCTGCTGCTAGGAGGAAATTAATTTCAAAATTTATCATCTTTGGAATTGTTAGAATTAATTACAGTGCTGGTCAGAATAAAATCATGAAAAACATCATGGGAATGATAACATGAAAGAGGACTCGAAGGATTTCTGCCTCAGTGAAGCAATTCTTTAAGAAGAAAGGTCAAGTGATTTATTTTTACCCTTGTCCTCTATTATTAGATAGTCCTACTAGCAGGTATTGCTAGGGGGTCAATTGTTGGTCAGTTTGTCAGGAAATTAATAACTTGACCAAAAGTTGTACAGAAAGAAAAAAAGAAAAAAAATGAGAGTGACTTTTCTACCCAAAATACCCTGCAGCATCCACCTTATTCATATGCATGTATTTCATTTAGCAATTATAATTCCCTTTGTATTCAAGAGTTACTTTACTGAAAAAAGGAACCATGCAGCCCCTGGATTGTTTACAAATTTCTGTCCCTGCGTGATTCTACACTCACCTGTCCAGTACAAGCTTTTAAATGGCGTAACATTGCACCGCAGCATTGTGCCAACAGAACACACGATATTCTATTACCCAACTGGACCCATTAGTCAACAAAGGCACTTAGTGAATCAAACCAAATTGGCCATTTTCTTCCATTTTCTAGTCCTGTGACAGATTCAATTTGTCTCCTCTGTATTGTTGATGAAATCAGTCAAGAATTCCAATTATAATGGGATTTTGTTGTCGAAAGAGAGAAAAGAACAACTGTGAAGATTGGGTCTGAGAAGGCGTGTAACAAGGGTGATCAGGTGCAAAATTTGGAGTGTAAGAATGGGAAAGGGGAGAGGAGGCATTGTCATTTAGCCTGCTTTTTTTTTTCTTTTTTTTTTTACAGTTCACAGATTTATTTTTGAAGGACTGATTGAGTTGGTTTACACCTGAGTGAATAGTTTTGCACGTCAGTTGTCAATGCTACATGTGTTTGTTTGTTTCTGACCTTTTCCTTTGGCATCTTTCTTTTCATCTCTCTAATTTTTATGACTTAAAAAATATTTGAGGAATTTCGTTAGTTTACCTGTGGGCCTGCTTGTATTTTATTAAACAGGTTATGTCACTACATAATGTTCCATCTAGGTTAGAATTCAATATTTAAATAAATCAAAGATACACTGTACATGCAATTTTGAAAAAGAGGAACTATGATTTATTATTTCATTGCCCCAACTAGGATTTGTTCAAACAAATTTACTTTTTCATTTGCCAAACTACCAGTGGGATTTGATCAAATATTCCTAAGGCTGAGCTTAAATTTAATTTGGTAGGATAAGGATTTTTGCTCTAGCAAATTCTTTTCTTCCTCTTTCCTTCTGTCCATCATACATTGAAGACATTTATTGTCACGGTCTCCAGTCTTAAAAAACCTCCCTTCACCTTCCCTACAGATAAACTTCACCTCCATGAAAAGCTTGCAGGTGTCCATAACACATAAATAACCATCATACAACATCACATTTGGAGTTATTAGACAGAATATCAGTGGTATAATGTGAGTAATGTTGTCATATAGAATGCAGTGGTAATTCATTGATGACAGGTAGCATTAGATAGTTCTATACCTGCATGACTCTTTGTGAATAAAAATGATTTACTAACTGACAGGTGGTGTGAATTTTGTGGTCAGCTGTATTCATTGCTGGCAGGAAATGTTTCTCCTTTTAAAGTGTCATTTTACTATAATTGTTTATACATAAAGATGGACGAGGTTTAAAGTTGATTTATGTTTACTAAAAAATGTCTGGTTTTTCTAAGAGAAAGTATTGTAGGACTTACAACTTTCTGTTGAATTCAGGGAAATATTTTTTGATGGTCAGTTTGTGGATAATTTTACTGTTCTTCTACACGCTTTTTGCTGTATATTTTCCTTGTTTCAGGAGATGATTATGTTATCAACACATATATGTATCCATATTATAATCTTTCCTGGAAATGTCACACAAAATTCAAACAAAAAATAATTCAGTCCAAGTTCCAAAAATAAAATTTTGCCAGTAACCCCTCAAATTTGGATCTGAAAATTCTGCATTGTGAGTTGCAATTTTTTGTGAACAGCTAAAAGAATACATCATGGAATGGAAAAATTATTGAAAAAAAAAGTGGTGTTTGAAATTTATGAATTATTGCCAAGCATATGACAGGTACTATCTACGGCTAGTGCAACCCTCGCTGTCATCTCCCCCCATCTCCGTACTTTGCGGGAAGCATGTTCTATTCCGCAGGGCATGTAATTATCCGTTTAAGATTTGACAGGTATGTCTTTGTAGAGGCACAGGGCCAAATTTTACTGCGATTAAACGTCCTTTGATCTCTTTTCAGAATTTGTACTCATAGCCAGGGGGCGGTAATAATGGAGGACATATAATTGGATCACAGAGGTTTGGAAAGTGGATAGAAAAGAATTGAAAAATTGAAGAGCCAAGCAGGCGGTGAGCAATTTGTTTGACTACATTCACAACTGATCTCAAAACAGCACATCACGTAGAGAAAGAAAGTGGATTGAAATTATTCATATATCTGGCAACAGCTACGCCAGCATTTGGCTGCAAGTGCTGCATGCATGCATAGCATACTGTACCTGATCCAGAGAGTGCATGATTAGACAGACATATTTGATGGAAGCACAAAGGCGGAAAAGCTAGGATACTTAAGCTTTAAAAAATTCAAGTCAGCTACTTTCGGTTTATCAAGTGCAACAGCAGGCAATACAAACTGACTGTGGAAGCACATATATGCATGTGAGTAGCAGTGTGACTAGAGTACCTTTCAACACAATACATGCAAGAACGGATCCAATACAACAACTGTGCACATTTCAATGTTGAACAACATGAACCTGGTGTCTTTGAGCATGACACGTGAAGGCACATGTAGTATTTGGCCACTGTGCGTGACGGCGTGACATTTCATCTCGATTCACAAAGGGAGGTGACCCCTAGTTAGTGATTGACACTTTGGGGGTGGCTGAATTCTGTGGTCAGTCCTTTTTACAATAACAGTGGTCAAGGGGAATTTCTTGCATTTCTTTCAAGTAGCCAAGACATTTGTGACATATATCTCACTGGTTGACAAACCTCCAACCTTGCAAAGAAAGCGGTCAAGGAGCTTAGCCAGTACTTATGACCCCTGAGCAGCCATATCACCTCCAGTAGGCAGTGGTCAAGGGGTATTTCAAGGTAGGACAAGTGGACAGTCCTCAGGCCTTGTATAATTATTCTTAAAGTACAGGTTAAGGAGGGATAACTGACCACTCCAGTGGCCAAAGCCGAGTGGTCATCAAGACACTGGACGTAGCAACTGGAGACAAACTTTAGGGAAGGCCGTCCATCACTGACCACTGGACTTACAGGTGTAATTAATTATCACCTGTTTTATGCACTATTTATCAGATACCTGTATGTTAGGACCAGCCCATTAACACTGGCCATATCTTGACCAACAGGGGTGGACTGGTGCTGGACATTTCTGATCGACAAGACACTGGTATCACATGAGAAATTGTTTTTAGCTGACTTTGAACAGTGATGAGTCTAAATTGATCATTTTTTAGGAAAGATAGCAAAAACATTTCTTGTGGCCAGGTATTGAAAAAATATCTTCTTGTAATTGAAAGAGGATAAGAAAAATCATATTTGTACAATACTGATTTAAGTATAAAACATTATACTTTTAACTGAGGACTTAAACATTGATACTATCCAGTGAGGAGAGCAAGGTAAACCCTGTCATTCACATCATACTGTACTACAAGGCTGAGTTTCAGTGCCAGCTATGCTTACAAATTGAAGGGAGAAGGAATTAAAGCAGCTGTTAGTCACTGCCTGAAAATACTTGTACAAGGAAATACAGGTGAGTTAATTGAACTGAGAATTATAATGTTTAGTTTTATCAGCTAAGAAGTGAATATGTAAGAAAGCCAGCCCTTTTATTTTCTTTTTTTTTTTTTATTGTGAATTTAATCTAAGGTTAAGTTGGTAAGGAACCACAAGGAGCCCAGAGATACAGACCCAGGGAGAAAGATTTGCAACAAGTTCCTTTGTGCCAGACCCATAAATTGTTTAAATGTTGGCAGGTTTAAGGGTTGGGTAATTTAATCTTTGGCTTTATTAGTACTTTGAAATGTTATTTTTACTAGTAATTGGTTAAAAAGAAAACTTGTAGAGCATTTTATGATTCCACTCTCCCTAAAACTGTGCTGTTTTTAACCTAATACTATACTGTAAAATAATCCAATTATTGTCATGAAATGGAGACCATTTTGCTGGGTGAGTGGTCATCCTCCTCGCCTACCTTATATACCCCTCCCCCTTTCTCCTGGTCATCATCCACCATTTAAATGGTTATTTATATAGGATAGAAACCTCCATCCCCGGTGGCCATATTATAATTGAATGTTTCACTTTCCCCTTAGACGCTCTGAAAGGGGGCATTACATGGGGTATCTACCTTGAATAGAGTAAGTTAAAATTACCTGAGCAAATGGAAAAAGATACAGATCTCCTGAGTGGGAGTGGAATAATAGGTTCCAGGCTCTAGATGGTGTGGTGCACCTGTACAAGATCATAGGTTTGAGTTGTTATAGCAAATGGGATGTACTTCTTGTTTATTTTATCTTATGAGTTGTGGTTTTGTTGTTTGTTTTACTCTTCTTTTCTCCACCCCTCCCCCCTCCACCTCCCCTATGTGCCCTGTATGATTTAAAAGCTACACATAAAGTAAGTGTTATACTGTATTTTTGTATCTTTAGATTCCTATTTCAATACATGTAGTGCAGAGAGCTAGCAAATGTTACCGAGCATTTTTTAGAGCTCAATAAATATAATTATGAAATCTAATACAATGTAATCTATAAGGACATTCTTACAGATATTGCCTGCATCTGTCCTTGCCATCTGCTCTTCTTAATTGGTACAGTAATAAAGACCATGTTAGCATCATATCACATAAGGGGATTAAATGAAATACCACAGATTCTCTTTGATCTTTTCACTGAGATTATTTCTCAGAGTAAATCTTCAAACATCTGTAGAAACAATAAACATATTTTTGCTTGTCTCTTACTTAATTTTTGACGGTTGCTTTTTGAAGTAAATGACTATTAGCATTACGCAATGTACTAATTTTACTGAATTCTGTCGTAGTCAAATAATATGTTGCCATTAAACTTGAACAAAAAATATCAGAAAGAGAGAGAGAGGGAAGGAGGAAAAAAGTGAGAGGTGGTGATACATAATACTGCCCATGCTAAATTGCAAACTAAATCTTGTGCAATTTATTATTTTTTCCATTTGAAAATTTTGGTGGAAAGTGGAAAAATTGGGCCAAATGAAGGAGCACCTACCAACAGGAAATTATATATATTTTTTATTTGCATTATCATTTAATTGTAGTCACTACTCAAAAGATAACACTAGTTTAAGGATATCATGTTTCCTGTGCAATGAACAGTCTAGATTTGCATATCTTAAATACATCTTAATAGGACTGAAAGATATCTCTAAAAGAGGCAGGTGCAAGACAGAAAGACCTCATATCTACATTAACATGTTTATAATTTACTGATTGAGCTTCCTTAATATCAAGGGCTAACTGCAGATTAATGAGATATTTGAGAGATTAAGGGTGCTGTCCAAGTTTTATGCTGTTGAACAAATAAGGATGTTTGACAGGGATTTAAAGACTATTAAAATGCAATTGTTAGAGTTCTTATCTTTTGGGAATTTTTAAAGAAAATTACCATGCATAACACCTGAGAACACCTTTGAAATAGAAACTCACAATCAGTGAATTCAGAGAAATGATTGAGTTTTATCAGTCATTCATTTTTGTTAACATGTATGAGAATGGAACTGTGATTTTTACATAAATATAACAGTGAAATTATTAATCTCTTTCTTCAAGTGAGAGAGGGAGGAAAAAAGAAAAATTATTCCCTATCTTACCAGTGTTTCACCTTTGTTTTGTATATATCTTACCTGGCTGGAGGAGGATGGGGGGGGGGGGGGGGGGGGGGGGGGGCTTCCCCAATTCGTTACATAACCAGGTAACCTTATGTTACCTCAGACTTAATACCAAACCCTTTGATCTCGCCTCTCACCCATCTGGGCTGACATGGAAATCTCTGTCTCTATCTGAATACATTTCCTTTAAGCCATTTGTATGTATACTGATGGGGCCCAGCGATACAGCACCATGCCTGCTGTTCATTTAATTCCAGGCAGACTTCATCCAGGTACCACACCTTTGTGAAAGGAGTCTAATTAGTCCTTAATTATTTGTCTGGCCAGTGGGCTGGCTGGTTGTCACTGGGAGACAGGGGGGTGTTGTAACTAGTATTATTGTTGTTGACGAGAGATGACGATGATATGATTAGAGGAAGACCAGACTTCAAGGGAGACAGCACCTTAGAGAAAGCTGTGTAAAGTGGTTTTGTGTCATTCACACTGGTGTTAGTGTAGGGGACAAATAGGTGGTATTCACACACCTGTACATATACTTATAGGGGCAGTTGAACTAGAGATCTAGCAGCCAACTAGGAGGACGGTGAGTTATATTACTAGCTTGGAGTTAAGTTTAAAAAGCCACAAAATTACTGCTATCGTTGAAGTGTTTTTGTGTCATTCACACTGGTGTTAGTGTAGGGGAGATAAAGTTGGTATTCAGACACCAGTACCTGTACATTTTGGGACCAGGCGAACTCTGGAACTAGAGAACTATAGCAGCCAAACTAGGGGAAGGTGAGTTATAATACTAAGTACCCATATCAGCTTGGATTAAGTTTAAAAAGCCACAAAATTACTGCTATTGTACATCTAGATCAGGCTTAGAAAAGACCACTTGCTGCTTAAGTTGCTACTCCCATAGATGTTTCAAGGCCACTTGTCTTGTTATGATTTTGGTCCTTTACTTAAGCCCTTTGAGGAGATTGTCTTAAAAGTGATACAACTGCTGATAAAAGTGCAAATTGTTCATAAAATGCTCTTAGATCAATATTGCAAAGTTGACAACATGGTTGGCTATCCAACTTTATTAGTCTTGACTAAACAACTAAGTCTTAAACCACGAAACCATGAAGTAAAATATAGGTGAGAGTTTCATTATGGCTAATGGGGAACCATAGGGACACAGGTGTCTTGTCATCAGTGGACAGGGTCTCTCTCTCTCTCTCTCAGCCAAGGCCTGTTTCTTAAGTTTCTGTGGAAATCTAAGGAATTCTCTTAGGAAACCAACACTGGTGAGAATGGGTTTGTGATAAAATCACATTGGGGTCAAGTTGGAACAGATATTAGGTTCAGTCTTGTAGTCACTGAGGTCTAACGATACTTGGAGGGTAACAACTGAAGGCAGTTGCTGGGGGGACATTGCCAGGAGGTTAGTTACAATGTAATAACATGGTTTTGAGAGGAGGGGGGTGACCATGCATCACCTCCAATACTATATTGTGTTAATCAGTGTCGGGTGCTAATTTTATACTAAAGATGTGGTGCTTTAAGTCTGGTGGCCACTAGTCATCATTTTGTGTGGAAATTGAACATTTTTTGTCTTAAGATGTGTAGAAAGCAGTGTATTTAAAGTCTGTAAGCTACTAACAATATTTAATTTTTGGAGATAATCCTCATAATACTTTGCCCAAAAATACTCTGTATGAAAATACAGTGAGTTATCATATGAAATTTGCTAGTCTCCCACATTTTGAATTACATCTGACTACTGAGGTCATTGAGGTCACCCTAGGGTGCACAATAACATGCTGTGACCCCCCTCCCCACCTTGGTAATAATTAGATATCACCTTAATCAAAGGGCCAGGTAACTACCTGAGATTACAATCATCAAAATGAATGGGATGACAAACTTTCTCAGACAACAATGATGTTAGAGAAAGACAGAATAAATGCCTAATTTATTCCTCTGTGCTCCCCCCCCCCCCCAATCTTTACCTCATCTGGATGGAGCCTGGGAACTAGTATTCCTGGGTATCTTTGGAAGTCAGGGTGTAGGCTATAGAGATCTGAGAGACACCTGGGTGGCAAGATGTGTTAACTGGAGGTGTCTGCTAGTTATCTGGTCCACATCTTAATAGAAAACACCTCTGTTTGGTGGAGTCTTGTTTTCGGCTTATTCTGTTTAACTAGGTGCCAGTCTTAAAAACTGCTTAGAGATAAAAAGGCAGACTTGGAGAACTGATAGACAGTTATCCACTGCAAATCTTGATAGTGTGGTATGTGATCTGGTGGAATATTGGAAGTCTATTTTTTTTTTGCTCAGATATATAGCGGAAGAACCAATTTTAAAAACTGTAAATAATTCCCGAAAGTATAAAAAGCAGACTTCTACAACTGGAGACTGATAGAGAGTTCTAGGATTGCATGGTAAGAAATTTGTGCTTTTTTACTGCAGCTACATGTAGAAGTCAATTTCACTTACTATTTTGGTCTGGCAGACTTGCAAACAACATGATAGACAGAAAGAAGCAAATAAGACAGAGTGTATTTCCAGGATCCTGTTCTTGAAACTTGGAGTCAATATTTAGAGCACGGTTTAATGAGGAAGCAGGCAAATGTTTGCTATAGTTTATAGACCTTGATGAATTGTACGGTATACATTGTTTGATAGCATCAGTTTTTCAGCTAGAAAAAATATTTGATAAGCCTTTAGCTGAAGGAGATGCAGCCTTATAATCCTACATACAGTTAAGGCTCTGTAGACTAGTTTTGGACTTTTAGAAGGTATATATTTTTGTATACTTCACTGTGGAAGTCTATCCTTCAGATCAATGGGATTTATTGGTTTCTGCCCTTTGAAGCTGTGAGGTACAAGGTGGGGAGTAAAATGGAATAGGTGGTTTAC